TAGTGGTGCCCAATGTTTAGTCTTAATCAGTTTAGTTCTCGCTTTCTTGCCATGAATCCTATCCAAATACTTTTTTTCGGTTGTTGGTTTTTTTTTTTTTCATCCCCCAAAAAAATTCTGGCTTGCTGGCTCTTGTGGGAGATGTGCTTGAGAATAACAAATACAGTGCACGTGGGAGGTGGGAGAAAGGCAAAGTAATTCATGGTAACTCTTCAGGACTGCTCCATCTGTGACCCCTTTCCCTCTGCTGTCATTGCACCCCTGCAGCTGAGAGGTCCTAAACCTTTTAATTTTTTGTCAGGAGCTTTCCTCTGATTCACTCGCTCTTAAACTGTGTTTTAGGCCAGAGCACTCTTTGTAGTACTCATATACCATTTGTTAACAATTTTTTTTATAAACTTGCTGACTTTTCATACAAAAGTTAATCGATAAAACAAACAAATGATGTACGTTGTGTGAATATACTGTTAGATAACAAGTCTGCTGTTTGGGGGTGGGTTCAGGGTTTTTTTTGGGGTTTTTGTGTGGTAGGGTTTTTTCATTTGTTTCTTGGTTGTTTTTTGGGGGTTTGTGTTGTGGTTTTTTTTTTTTTTAAATATCTCCTTGTATGTCAGTATTACCTAGGAACTTCTGGATCTTGAGATCCACTTCCCTTAGAAATCTCTTCTAGCAGGCTTTCCTGCTTATCACCACGTTGCCTTGGTTCCGAGTACAGATCTCTGCAGGCCCAGTCTCATGCCACCTGGGATACGCAAGGGGATAGCTTATGTCTTGTCCAGCTGTGGGTGCACCTGTAGCATTTCTTCTGACCAGGGTTTGAACTGAAGCGGGCAGAAGTTATAAAACTGCTTCAAGTCTTTCAGTTGTAACTCCTTGGCCACCACCCCATTTCTTACTACCTTTTTCTGAATCTCCCCAGATTTCCTACTATATGCTTTGGGTGTCTGCGTTGCATAAAACTTGCTTCTCCTGCCAACGATAGCTCTTGCTGGTCATGAAGAGCTAGGTTTGCACTGTGTGTTTGTGCTTACCTAAGCTCTGGACCACTGGTGTCTCCTCTCCAGTTCCAGCTGGTGTCCTTCCTGATACGTCCAGTTGTTTTGACCACTTCTGTGGCCCTCATGGTGCCAGTGCTGTTACGCGAGCTTTGCCCTCTCCTTCCAGCACCTTCTTTTCTTGAGCAATAGCTTTTCCTCCTTTAGTTTCAGCTCCTTCGCTCCAACTTCTGCTGTATCAGTGAAACCAGTCTGAACAGGGTCTGCTCGCTGGTCTTTGCATATGCTCCTTGCATCCTCATCTTTGCCATATACGAGTGATCCTTGCTCTTCAGTGCTTATGGGAACCTGTATATCAACATCTCTTTCCTGGGTTCTTTTCTTGACAGTCTTACAAAATTAAATCATACTGGTATGGTGACCATACAGGATTCCCATATGCATTCCAGTTTGCACACAGCAACTTCAGCTGTGCAGTTTAGACTTTTCAAGGGGTTTTGTTGCTGCTGTTGGGTAACGGGACTGAAATTTGATTGTGAATTTTTTTTGGAGGCTGCTTGCCATTTCTGTGCTATCCACCAAATGCCATGCAATTCACACATGCTGTCTTTTGGAACAAAGTGCTAAGTAGTGGGAAGATCACCCGATTACAGGTTTTATTGTGATCCAGCATGCTGCGACAAAGATAGATACACTTTTGTTAGCAGCAGTTCCTTGGATGTGTGTGTCTTGGAATAGATTAGTTATTAAAGATGCCAACTTGATCTCCTGAAGTTTTGTAAGCTGTGTTTATTTCTGTGATGCATCATCTTTTTTTTCATACTGAATTTAGCTGCTTTTGGGTTTTTTTTTCTCTTTTCTTTGCTCAAACATTCTGTGATTTAGCATGAGTCATTCTGTCTGTGTGGGAAAGGTCTGGTTTATTACAGGGTCCGTTCTTGAGTGGGGAGGGGAAAGGGTGGAATGTATTTGTGTTTTCTATGTGTTTGTTGTGGAAATGCATAAAACTTTTTTTTTTCTTCTCTTTCTTTCCTCTCTTCATCATCTCATCTGTGTGGGTGAATGTTCCTGCAAACCCTTGGGGAACCTATAGACACTTTTGGTATGCTCATTCCTTCATTAGTGCCCAAAGTCACAGATGCTAGGAACAGTTTAATGACTAGAAAAGCAAACAAGAGTCACATCATAACAATGTAAAGTGGCTAAAAATGTGCACTTGAGGAAAACTTCTAAGTCATCACCTAATAAACCTATTTGTTTGCATCATCACAATAATACCAATGGCCACTGCTGTCCAGTTGGCATGAATTTTGATTCTGTGCTTGAAAAGTAGAAATTAAATGTGTTCTCCTGTAGCAAGAGCTAATGTTTTGTGATCAAGATGTAATTTTTAAAAGTACCTATCCTGTTTCAAATTCTAAGTCCTGTTTTTGAAGTGACTGAAGTGTATGCACTTCAGTTGCCTAAATGCTATTTGAAATCACCTGCTGAATTGTGTTGTGGTGTAGGAGCCCAGGTGACCTCTGAAAATGAGAACCGGGCACAATTTGACCCACTTTCTCATTAGGAAGAAAATGTAATTCTAATAAAACACACCACAGAATATGAAATCATTTTTAAAAGATAGCGATTTTAAGATAAATGAGTGCCATTAGGTAGCGTTACTTTGAAAATACATGTTCAATGCTGCTCTCCAAGAAAAGAGAGCAGAAGTACAGTAGAATAAGGTAGAATTTTTGTTGAAGGAGAGCTTGTGGCTTATTGATATTCTAGAAATGAGAGATTTTTCTCATGCTTCCACAATTTGAATATTTCCAGCTGGATCACATTTTTTTCATAAACAGCATTCTTTATTCCATAAGTAGAACAGAGACAAAGATGATTACATGTAAATGTCACTGTATATTTTTATAAATACTGAATAATTATATTTCAGTGCAAAATACGTGGAAACTTAAAATATTTATTTATATGAACAATGGAGATAGCATGAGAGATATTTAAGACATATGTACTGTAATAACATGAAAAAAAATGAGACCAGTTACTTCATGTTTTGGTTGTGCTATATAGTGTTAAAGTTAATGTTCGTTTCTAAGCTACAGCCGCTGAAGTTTGAAGGCTCAGCTTTTTGGTAATCATAATGATCATCTTAGGTTTTTTCTTGTCATTAAGAGAAAATAATGTTCATGCTGCTTTGACATAAATTGATGTTTAAAAAACTTTATCAGTAGTCATCACTTCATCAAGTCATCTCTGTTCTTCTGATGGAAGAAGGATCATCAGGCATGAATTTGGACATCGTTAGCTTCCCTTTTTTGTGTTGAGAAATTATTTAACACCACAGGAAATCCTGTCCTTTTCTCAAATTAGGATCATTAAAAGTCATTACATGAGTAACCCCCATAATTTAAAAACAGTGGAAATATTTTCCCCACACGGGATAAATACATCAAATGTTTTACTGATTACCCACTACAATATTTTTATCTTTTGGTGAGTTTTAATGCCAATTTAAAATAGTTCCTTTGATATAAACTATGTTTTTCTTACTTAACCGTAAGTTTAGGGTAATAAATATGCTCCTCCTCTCTGATACTGCTTGTTTCTCTTAAAATAATATTACTGAGTGGGTATCATGCTTTAAACACTTTTCTGACCTTGAGGTCTGCCAGAACTTCTGACAATTTTTCTGAAATTTCCATTATATTGATGCTGCTCTGTCAGAGCCAGTGACGGCGGGAGCCATAAACCTCCCCTGAGTATTTTGTGATAGTTGAGTCCCATAGCACACTTGGGGGGGGAAACAAAAAAATTCACAACCAGTCTTCTCCAGGGCTGCCATTGTTTTTACTGCTGCTGTAACTGTACTGGTAATAGAAGAGTGATAAGAGAATTTTTGAAAAGTTCTCTGTGTAGACACTAATATTCTCTGAAAAGAAAAGTACAGAAAAGTTCTGATTTATCAGATGATTGTTTACAACCCCTTATAAACCTAATTTTCTATGACCATCAGAAGGTAAAATACAGTTGCTAAAACATATATTTCTAGATATTGTCCAGAATAATCTCGGCACATTGCTGAGTATTTTTAGAAATTGCTTGTGGTGGAACATCGCAGTACAGAAAATCCACTGTTATTAACGTTATATTATGTGAAATGATTCAGATAACACAAAAACAGTATGATATTTTCTTCTTGATTCTGTGACTCTTTCAGAACCACAGCAATGTCTGAAACACCTCCTGTTTATGACTGTGCATTAAGTAATCTGCATTGATCGGGCTGATAATTGATATTCCAAAAATAGAACAGCTGAAAGATGATCTGAACAAAATATGTTGGTGCACATTTTAAACGGTCATCCAGAATTTTGCTATTATACATTCCTTCAATTTCAATGGAAAATCAATATTAAAAATATATATTCTCTGACTGCGGGCATGCCTAATGTGCCGTGTCATCATAGCCCTGTGCTTTGTCTTTGCTTGCAGTAATGCTGTCCATTTGGTACTTGAGCTTGCAAACAGCCTTTAAATAAAGGTGATGAGGGGAAAAAGCAATGAGATTGATGTTACACTCAATCAGTTGAAAGAAAGTATAACTTTTATTTAACAAAAATAGATTTAAAAGACTATTTTTGTGGAATGACTATTTATAAATATGTCAGGTGTTTGTGTTTTTTTCCCCAGTCGAATTAAGAACGTCTTACATCACCTTAAAGCCTGCTTGCATATACAGTATTGTGAGTTATTAGAGCTGATGTAGTTCAAGTCATTTGTGTAGAATGATGTAGTTACTCCAGAAAGCTTAGAGATCACCTGGAGATATTGCAGAAGTTCTAGAGGCATTGGTGCTTGCTTTCATACATGGTAAAAATAGCATATTACAAGCTGAAGAAAGAAGTTGATAATGTAGTTTACATATTTTGTTAACAAAACATCTCCATTGCATCCATGATGAATTACATTAATTAAAATGTACTTTTTTGTGTGTGTTTTCAGTGAAAGAGTTCCTAGCCAAAGCCAAAGAAGACTTTTTAAGAAAATGGGAAAGCCCCCCTCAGGTATCAGTTATTTAAGCATTCAGTAATTTTCTCTATTGAATTTTTTGGATAATGTTATCAGTCTGTAATGAGCAGCGCAGAAAACAGAAATAAGTTTAATGCAATTTTAAAAGGAGTTTCCATTTTTAATGTCAGTTTTGTCATTGAAGTTCACCAGCAAAGACTCTCGGTTCTTCTCCAGATTTGAGCTGATGAAATGCCCATACTGAACAACAGCTTTCTCTTACTGAGAATGATGTTCACCATCAACATGACAAGACTCAAAATCTATTGGCATGTTTTAACTGGCTTTTTATAACACTAAGTGTTGGCACATCTGTAATTTACCCTGTTAATAATTTCCCCCATGGTATTAAGGGGAATTAAGGGTATTAAGACTACTGCATGGAGCTTGGGGGCAGGTTAAGGAGCTTGTTAGAGAGAAATCTTAAAACTGGAACTTGGGGGTTTGGGTTTTTGGGGAAGGATCATTGTTGTTTTTAAAGCAGCATTTGAAATGCTGTGGTAATGAATATCTGTGAAAATTTACTCAGTGATATGCTGTCCAGACAACTCTCATGTAGAACTGTCTCTAGAGCTTGGGGGTTTTTGCATGTTCTAATATTCTTGTTTGTGAAGCATGAGGGGGTTATTTATCTGCACGTTAAATTCATGATCTGTTTACTGCTAAATGTTTCTTACTAAGCATGTGTCATAGAGGTCTTTTCCAATCTTAATGATTCTATGATTCTAAGATCATTGAGTCCAACCATCAACCCAACACCACCATGCCCACTAAACCATGTCCCTAAGCGCCTCATCT